GCAAGAGGGTTTCAAGAAAAATAAAATTCAAAGATACCGCCTGCCGATCATACATATTCAAATATCCGACTCTTGTCATTTTATTTACCTAAAGCCTGGCGCACACGTGAGTTATTTTACTCAAGTAAAATGACGCATGAGTCAAAGATGACTCAACGAAAATCCGCCGCACACGTGAGTAAAATGACGCATGCGTCAAATTACTCAACAAAATTCGCCGCACACGCTGAGTAAAATGACTCATGCGTCATTTTACTTGAGTAAAATAAACTCACGTGTGCGCCGGGCTTAAGGGAAATATTTTGGAACTCTATAAACAGAACTTCGTTGGCGAGAAGTGAAACAGTTCCTACTTTTTCTAGAATCCTACAACGTGAAACAGTCGTATAGAGCCGGGGCCGGCTACTTCATAAACAGAGCCTGAAGGTCGTATGGCGCAGCGGCCGGCTTTGATGTACGCGATCGATCGCGTACTATATAGTATACGCATGCTATCGTGCTATACGCGGCCGCAGAGCCGTTTACACTTCGGTTACTCGCTCGTTCAAAGGGACGATTAATCGAGCTGAGTTTTTGGAGCGATTCCTAACACTACTATCCAGTACACGACACGAATACCAGTACACGACATCAGTACACGACTGGTGTTCACATTTTGAAAACAATATCATGACTTGCAGCAATGGTACATGCAACTGCAAGTCATTTGCATCTCGTGGCTCCTGCATTTCAAGCTGTATTAGTATACCCTATATTTAACTTGTGAAAACAAAAATTATATTCCTGCCTACCCATGTTTTTGCAGAAAAAAAAAAATGTTATACCTACCTACCTACCCTAATTTTCACAATCCATGTGACTCGAACCAAAGGTATTTTTTTGTTTGGCCTAAGGAATAGCAGGCCCTCTTTTATAATTCTGTCATTTAATCATTCTGACAGACAACTTCCTTATCTGCAAGTGACCTGATCCAGTCTCCTGATGTTTCCCTCACTGACTCTCTTTGTTATCTTGGTTTTTCCCCACTCGACCTAGCAGGTCTAATGTTCCAGTCCTCTTGCAGGTGACACGGTGAGACATGTGATGGGAGAGGCAGCTGCCGTGCACTGGACAGCCAACACATGGATGCTGGAGTATGGCCGGGGTCTCATACCGACAACACTGCCCTTCGCTCTATCCGACACACTGTTTGGCACCCAGGACTTTGTCACACTCTACAGGACCTTGCGCATCTACTGCAAGGCGCTGTGGCAGGAGCTACTGTTCGCAACGGGAGTACATGTCTGAACGGTTGTTGTTGTTGCTGATGGCAACAGCTCGTGGGAAGGGCTATGGTTACACATCAAGGAGTTCAGTGTGTGGGTAGGAAATGTAGCATGTGGGACGATCAGTGAAGCTGTTAGTTTCATCTGCCGGTGCATTGTGAATATCACAAATTAGATGTGATTAATTAAGATGATTAATATATTTCTAATGAAATTACTTGGTAGACATTATTTGCACCATGTGCGTTTATGGTGTGTGTGTGTTGATATGCGTTGAGGCGTACAATGTATGTGCGTGTGTGTGCATGTGTACGTGTGTGTGTGCGTGTGTGTGTGTGTGCGCGCGCGCGTGTTTGTGTGTGCGCCCATGTACGTGTGTGCGTGCGTGTGTGCGTATATCAACATGAATTTTTTTCTGATTTATTGAAATTATGTAGGAAAATTATTTTCTGCCAAGTGGTGATATAATATGCTGCATGAATGTTCTATGGAGATGGATGTGCATCATGGGCCAGCTGGATTGCAGTGCCAGATATTTTGGTACTATGTTGTTGCCAATGCAGAAGTAATATCAAATAGCAAATAAAATGAGATGGGACACTCGCTATGCTTGCTAGGTTAAATTATGCACTATGGCCGACCAACCAGCAAGTTACTATCTGCAGATTACCAGCTAACTGATAACAGCAGTAGGTTGTGTAAAGTTAATTGTACATCAAGGCACATGAGGATACAAGCAAGTGGATAATCATTCGCTTCCGGGATTACACTATCAACTTTTTGCTGAAAACTTGACGAGCTGATAAACTTTTTAACTAATCGACCGAAAGGCGGCAGCGTAAACGTAAAAGTTTAGCACACAACTGGTTGAGAGATTAGAACATGTTCTATTTTTGGTAAGCAAGTTGATCATGTTTTTGCCACTCAGCCACTCCGAAAATAGCAATCGGTAGGTGTGTGTCAAAGAAAACTTTGAACTTCTGATTGAAAGGTTGTTAGAACGTTGAAAAATACATCAACTCACCAATCTTTCTATAGTGCAAACCCAGCTTTACTCGTGTGCATTGCTTTCGGATCTAGGTCACTAAATTATAATTCCAGTGTATTACATGCGATAACACTTTCATGGCTCTGAGAAAAGGTTCCTTCCACTCTGTGTATCCATAGTTCTCTTGAACAATTTAGTTATGACACATAACATGCTTACTGGGGCGCTTTCCACTTTTATAGCTGCATTTGATCGCAGTACGCTATACAGAAAACCACCGACCGGCCCAGCGGTTATCTTAGCAAACAAATGGTGAGTCTCTGTATGTTAGCACTGCCTGCCTGCCGCCGCACAACTTTTAATGCAACACCAGCCATTGGTCAGAGCTAGTATCGCGCTTGAACGAACATTTTAGCCAGCTGTCCTGTTTGTTACCTCCGCCAGGGGCTTGGCGGAGGTTATGTTTTCACCGGCGTGTCTTTGAGTGTTGGTTTGTGGGTTTGTGTGTTACCATGCACGTTTCAGTTCACTTCCGCTAGGTGCGCTGGCTGTAGACTTACAAACACGCAACCACAGGCTAAGGGGCAACCACAGTCCTCCCCCACCTGCATGCTCGCACTAATCCGGATCCAATTAATTATTTAATTAATTAATTAATTAATAAAAAATTTCACATTGAGAGAATTCAGCTGCCTTGGCAGAGGTCTGTGCTCTCTGAGTGCTCTAGTTTGTTATATGGTGTTAAGTAGTATCCTAATCGTGTTGTCACTTGTCTGCGTGTCATCATTCCTAGGTGACGAGGTGATATTTTCTCCAGTGCAGTCTTTGTTATAAGACTGCTACATGCGGGATTCAACGATTGTAATATCACGTTCGTATATCAGTTGAATAATATATTTTAGGGGTTTAATGTCAGGGTTTAAGATCGTGCTGTGATATTTGTCGACGGATAAAGCTGTTGTTGTTATGTATGTTTACGAAGCTTTTATTTAAGGGAAGTAGGGAGCAAGACTAAACTCCCCATATTAGTAGCGCTTCTTGTGACTAAAATGAACGCAACTAATAAACACCACTGTGGCGAGCAGATGTAGACTATACTTGGCAAAATTTATTGAATTGCTTCTTGGAGTAGTTTTTCTGGGGACTTCGCCCGTCTGGATTGCACTTACACCGTAAACTGTATATTTCAAAATATCTCACGTCAATGTCTAATATATAAGCGACGGAGGGACGGGTAGAGTGATGGCAAGGAAACAGCTGATAGATATACAAGCAAGCAGGCGGACGGACGAACATACGTACGTAGCGACTGACGAACTTATGTGCGGACGTACGTGCGGACGGACGGACGGACATACAGGCAGACCGACAGACATACAGATGGACAGGCGCGCGGTCGGAGGGACGGACGGACGGACAGACAGACAAACCGATAGACATTAAGATAGATAGACAGACGGAGGGACGGACGGCCGAACGGAAGGACGGACGGACGAACGGAAGGACGGACTGATAGATTGATAGGCATATGTACAGACCGACAGATCTACTGACCGACCGAGTCATGAGCAAGTCATGAGCAAGTGAGGGACCGACAGTCACAGACAGGGGCGTAGATAGCGGGGGGGATGGGGGGGGGATGCATCCCCCCCACTTATTGACGTGGGGGGATGGCGTGTACAATCATTCCCCCCTACTTTCAGGAGGAAAATGGGGGATTCAAAATTTTCTGGGGGAGGACCCGCATACCCCCGCATGTTTCTTACCACCCTCCTCGAAATCCTGCATTGGCCACTGTCGAGCGTAACAAATTTAGCACCCCCACTTCAAAAATCGTTCCGCGGCGCCTGTAGAGTACTGCTAACAAAGGTTATGATTATGAATATTTGTATGCATATCAAACGTCAAATTTGAGTTCATCTGACAGGGGCGTAGATAGGGTTAGGGTTGCTGATAGCTTTTAGATTTCTAAAATTGATTGCTTTTAGATTGCAACTTTTTAACAATTCCACACAGTGCGCACTTCGTGCCCTTGAGCTCGCATGATTCGCCCCCCCCCCTAGAATTCACTTCTAGATCCGCCACTGGTTGTGTGTGTGTGTGGGGGAGGGGGGTGTTATTAAACCTCTGGGATCCAAAGAAAAAAATTACCCTCGAATTCACAAAATTGCACTTACAATATCGATTTTTTTAAATTACCTCAAAAACGACCATCTTGAAGGTTCTAAATTGCTAAAATCCAAGAGCTTAGATCCCTAGGGCGGGCCCCTGGACCCCACCCATTAAGGGCTTTGCGCCAAAGCGCTCGCGGTGTGCGCTACTCGCGCACACTCTTCATATACATTATGATGGAAGTAACAGCGAAATCATCCCCCCCACAACTGAGGACCTGTCTACGCCACAGACTCACAGATGTATATTGAGTGCCATCACTCATGCTTACCGATGTACGCACGCACGCACATTTAACGTTGGTTGTAAATGTGAAAAAATAGTAACAATTAATAAGTCTGAATTAAAAGCATCCAAGTTCCAAGTGCATTATATTAAATACATTATATTAAATTATATACAATAAAAAGACAGACGAAAAGGTATTGAAAACGCCAGTTGATAGTTATCATACACGGTAAATCACCCAAAGTATATATATATATATATATATAATGTATATATTTATCAGGAGTTATGACAATGATGATGAATAATGAAATATGAATAATGACAAATATATATCCTATCTCGCCTTGTCAAAATATATATATATTGGCAACGTCACAGGTGGAGGGATGGAGTGGAGGCGGCGATGAGAAGGTTGGGAGTAACGGAGGACGATACGGCCGATCGAGAAAGGTGGAGAAGAATCATCAACAGGGAGGTCAGCCCCTAGCTGACGTCTCAGCGTGGACCATCCNCCGGTCGCTCGCTCACCTAACAAGATGGGCGCCACGAAGGTGACGGGACCCTCCAGCAGGAAGTCGACCGCCAGCGAGTCGGCGAACGCGTCGGCTCCCGCTATCTGCTTCATCATAACGAACGTCGGTGACAGCGCGCCTCCGATGAAAAACCCCGTCGCGGCGCTCCACACGAGAAATGACCATTGTTGATCCACGACCGCCGCCAGCGACATCAGCACTCCAGCGCCCGCCATGGCAATCACGAACCCCATCTGGCGGGTGTAGATTCCGCGGAAGCGCTTGCTGTCCCACAGTACCGTGCAGAGAAGGATGCGCGCCAGCGTGTCAGTGGCGCTGGACAAGCTGACAGCGAGGGCTGTGTTTGCGTCCTCGCCTCCAATCTCGATGCTCTTGATCGGCAGGTAGACGGCGATGTTGAATAAACCGAAGTTGAGCAGACACATACAGAGAGTGAACACCCAGAAACGCGCGTCGGCGAGCGCCGACCACCTGAACGCGTGGCGCGGCTGTTGCTTAGCGACGACGTCTGCTACCGCGGTGAGATCGTCTGCGCTTGGCGCCGTCTCTACGCGCGTGAAGGTCACGCCAGCGTCGGTTCGTGTTGCAGCGCGGGTCGGCAGCGGCCGCAGGAGGGCAGCACATGCGACCGAGTGCAGCACGATGGCGCCATTGATGAGGCTGGCGCCCGTGTAAGTGTACTCAGCGACGAGTGCGTTAGTGATGAGCGGCAGGACGAGGCCGCCGACCCCGGCACCGGCGACGACAATGCCCGAAGCTGTCGCCGCGCGCTTATCGAAGTAATCGCTCGTGAGACTGAACCTGGGATCACGCACAGGCCGTTACCGACACCTGTGAGAAACACGAGAAGCTGAGGAAAAGTTGTCGTTAAAGATGGTCAGTGAGAGTCGTTTCGGTGTGTTTTCCTTGGCTTCTTTGGTTTTTTTTTGTTTCTGGGGTTCTATTCCGTGCAGTGGCTTCTTAATCTTCTTTTGAGTCGTGGACCCTTTGAGAAATTCTGGGCTGAAGCTACAGACCCCTCTCAGAAAAATACACGATAAGCACATAAACACACAATTTTGGCATACATATTGGGTTTCACGGACCCCCCTGAAGCCCATCACGGACCCCCCTGAAGCCCATCCACGGACCCCTGAAGCCCATCCACGGACCCCTTGAAGCCCATCCACGGACCCCCTTTGAAGCCAATCACGGACCCCCTGAAGCCCCATCCACGGACCCCCTCGAAGCCCATCCACGGACCCAAAGCCCGCACCAAAAAGCACACATGGACCACAGTCGTGAAGAACCCGGCGATTTAGTGTGTGCGCGTGTTTTACATGATCGTCTGTTTTATAACAAGTTGCATGCTTGCGCGAATTTGGAAAATAAATGAACTATATGACTCAATAGACTATAGAACAGTACCCTTATGATAGTTTTTGGTACGAATTCAGTGAGTACGACGTGCCTTTTGGCCACGAATTGTTAATATAATAGGTAGTAGTATTATATGATATATATAGTGTATATATATAGTGTAACCTTGTATCTAGATGAGGTCCGCCATATCTATCAAATATTATTTATCTATATATATATATATTTAGTTACATATATATACATATATAATTTAAATATTACGCTCAATGGCCTACCGTAGTACACCGAGCATGCACCATTGCTCAATTTACTTTACTGCCCTGCCTGCCATGAGGTATTATAGTTTATTATACAATGGCCTATACGGTACCCCGTCTTTATTAACCAAAAAATAATTAAGTTCTTGCAAATAAAGATGCCAATTAAAGATTAGCGCGGCTCTGTTTTGATTAGCGGCAGTCAGGTAAATTAAAAAAACCGAGCAAGTGGGTTTAATTGTGTTTCCGCCTGGCTGTTAACCACTACCTACGACTTACACCAAACGCGGTGAGTGTGATTAATGAGAAGAGGCTGCTGTGAAACAATAGCCGAGGCATCAACGCCAAAGCAGATAGTAATCCTCGATGAGCTCGCAATTTCCTGTGTCAAATCGTGTACCACAAGAATTCTCGTGGCGGCTCTGCGAATTAGAGCTATATATATATACCCTCCTCTATATATGATATATATAGGCATGTGTGTGTTAGAGCGTCGCGTGCGTGCGTGCGTGCGCTACGTACGTAGTGTGGTTGCGCGTAGCTGCGTGCGTGCGGCGTGGCGTACGTGCGGCTACGTGGTTGGCGTGAGCTGCCAGAGCAAACATACGAGTAAATTTCACAGGCGCTTTGTGTGACAAAGGTCGCCCCATTTCACACGGTCATGGTGCGCTCGAGCAAATCGGGCTCTAGATTTTGGCTCGCGGCCAAATTTGGGCTCGGGCCGGCTTTGAGCTCACAGTACGCAAGTGAGATACGTCTGTCAAATATCAAATTTCCAAATTCAAATAAATTTTATTGCACCAGATATCTCAAAAACAGATACTCTTTTAGCAGTATGTCGCGAGATTGGCGTTGTTTACCGATTCAGGAGTGCCCTTAGCTGTACGGTTTTCGAGTGTTAATTATCAATCTGAAAACGTGCATCCTGATCAAATTTTTTGCGAATTTTTATACTGTTTTGGACTTTATTTCGTCGAAGTACACGTTCGACACTCGCGGCATCTACCGCCTCAACTCGATTCTACGCTCTACGTTTCGGAACAGCGCTTGTGCTAAAATTTTGGCTCGGGGCCCTGGGTTAGGTATGTGGTCGGGTTCCTTTGGGGTTGTGGTCGTTATGCTTACGACGTTTTCGATCGGACAAATCTGCGTACGGGCCATAATAGGCTCAGGCCAAAAACGTCCGTGTGAAACGCTCGGCTCGAGCAAATAATGGCGGCGGGCTAATAGGCTCGGGCCAAAAACGTTCCGCCGTGAAAACGCGCTCTTAAGATATCTCACTGCACGCCGATACGCGATAGATTACATCTTCTAGCATTAATTAAAGTTTTATTTGCTTTGTGTGACATAATTTTTGTCCACAGGGACAGACTCGCTAGCACCAGATGACTCCTTTGTTCTCGGAGACATATTGTTTACGATAACGCTGCGAACAGCCATGCGTTATTGAGCGACATTTGACAGTTTACCTAATGAGCAGGGAGCATTGCTATTGCGGACGCCGAGTATCGTGATGTTCTCTTGCCACGTCGCCGTGCAAGCCGCTCCATTTTTGCATGTCAAGCCCCATAAAGAATGCGTACGCCTTTCTGCTGTTCCCACGTTGAGCCGAGGATGGTGCCGCAGCCGCCGGCTGACAGACCCAGCCCCCCAGCCTCTATCCGAGAAGGCGCTACGCTGTCTGGTCATAGTCGTCTGGGCGCGCGCGCCTGCTCGCTCCCACCCCCTTCCATGCTGTCAGCGCCGCTTCTATAGCTCCGCGTTATTGTGTGGATGCGCAGTTGCCGAATGTAACGTTATCGCTGTTATATATATATATATATACGTGTTGGTGTCTAGTTGGACCTTGATCGAGCGAAGGATGGCGTCATCTCGATTTAAGCGCGTGCGACTAGGCAGCCCACTTGTCCATGGACGCGGTTGAGATTGCTCTTGGCCATGTACGTTATGTTATGTAACTGTTTGTGCGTGTGTGCGTATATGTGGGCTGGCCTGTGTGCGTGCGTTGCGTGTCTGTGTGACGTAGCGTGTGTGTGTAAGTCGATCGTGAATATACTGATTTACCAAGAAATTTATTTACAGAGTGTTAATACTTGTGTGAAGTGCGGGGGGGGGGCATGCCCCCGCCCCACAGTCGTTTTTATTTTTGATGCCAAAATAGTGCCATTTGGACGCCATTATTCTAAAAGCCGCTCATCTATCTTCTGCATTTTTCCTAGCTTATATTTTTGGTAGGATGGATGAAGATTTTATCAGCAATTTGAACCAGCATGGCAATCATCACTAGTTTACTGCAAAAAACTGACTACGTACTTAATTTGTCAATTTGTCACAGCCGCTGATACATAAAATTGCTTTTTAAAGCGGCATGTAATCTGCCCACTGTGTGAAGTACTGTATATTGCATATGTACAGTCCGCCTTCTTCACTTATGAATAGTTTATAAACAATAATTTAGACAAGCTGCGGCCAAAAATGAAAAAACAACTTGTCATTCTTGAATGCTTGTGTAATGAATAGAATTGTGAATAAAGTTTTAAAATCATAACTGAATTGTGTAACGTTTACTTTATACTCATAGCTCTTAAATGCTCGATTGTGTTATCCGTGATCGTATGTTTCGTGACTACGGTATATTAGTTAAGAGAGTATCGCGGCGGCGCCGCTTAATCTACAAAATTTGGCTGCGACACGCGTTTTACGTATACAGGTATGGACCATCTTTAATTACGGAGTACTCTATAAACGATGTATACAGAAGGTACGCGGCAATACAAAAGCATAACTTACATAGTTTGAGGTTGCAGTGGTCAGTGATGAAAAACTAAAAGAACGGTGTAGGTAACGTTGTCGTCGGCTATGCAAAAAACTGCGAGAGAGTGAGCCCTCTTATTTCACTAAAACATAGTTCTTATAGTGACGGCTACTCTCATCTGGTTCTAGCCTCACTGCTTATTATAGGTCGGTGTCCCAGTTCGGTCAAGCATGCCCAATTAATTCGCGTGACTGTTATTGGCTGCGTTACGGCGCGACTACTCTCCGTTCGTTAACGCGTGTCGCTTGAACCACGCGTTTCTTACTTGTGGGTCGCGGCTACGCCCTTTACGACCCACCCAATCACGCTGCGCGGGTCAAGTCGACTACGCGCGGGTCAAGTCGACTACCTTACCTCATTAACGTTCTTAATAACATTACAATTATTATTACTCGTTTACTATTAATTCTGTGTTACAAATTGTCTAATATGAGGTTTTAAATCAATTGTTTTTCACATTGCCATCTCTGAATGTCATACAAGATTTTTAGTTTGTATGCTGATACAGGTAGTGATAAATGT